GCTGGCCTGGCCCCGGCCGGTGGCCCCACGGGTGCCACGGCCCCGGGGAGACGCAGGCGGGAGCGGAAGGGGGGGGAGGGCTGGTGGGGCACAGGCCTGTGACGTGGGTGTTGGGGTGGCTGTTGGGCTGATACAGGTGTTGGAGTGGCTGTTGGGCTGAGCTACAGGTGTTGGGGTGGTTGTTGGTTCCTGAGGCTGAGCTATGGGTGTTGGGGTGGCTGTTGGTTCCCAGGGCTGAGCTACGGGTGTTGGGGTGGTTGTTGGGCTGATATGGGTGTTGGAGTGGCTGTTGGGCTGAGCTACAGGCATTGGGGTGGCTGTTGGTTCCTGGGGCTGAGCTACAGGTGTTGGGGTGGCTGTCGGCTCTCGGTGCTGAGCTACGGGTGTTGGAGTGGCTGTTGGTTCCCAGGGTTGAGATATGGGTGTTGGGGTGGTTGTTGGTTCCCAGGGCTGAGCTATGGGTGTTGAGGTGGTTGTTGGCTCTCAGAGCTGACATATGGGTGTTGGGGTGGTTGTTGGGCTGAGCTATGAGCGTTGGGGTGATTGTTGGCTCTTGGGGCTGAGCTACGGGTGCTGGGGTGGTTGTTGGTTCCCGGGGCTGAGCTACGGGTGTTGGGGTGGTTGTTGGTTCCCAGGGCTGAGACGCGGGTGTCGGAGCGGCCACGGGCCGAGCGCAGGCAGGGTCTGGGCTCTCCCGGCTGGCGGGAGCAGCTTGGAAAGGCTTTGGAAGTGAAGACAAGCAGCTTATGTTTGACATGCGAGGGAGGAGGAGCGGGCAAGGGGGTGCGCGGGGGGCTGGGGAGCCGAGCGAGCGGGAGGCGAGCGGGAGCGAGCGGCGTCTCGCCAGCCCACACAAAGGATGCTGCAGTGACGGAGGAGGGAGACAAAGCCGGCCCGGTGCGCACGGTCCCGAGAGGCCGTGGGTCGGCGGCGGGCTGCGGGCAGGCGTGGGGGTCCCTGCCCTGTCTTCCCCGGGCACCCGGCTCCCCTGCCCTGCCCGCAGCTGCCTGCAGCCCCGGAGGGACGGAGCAGGGCTGGGCGAGCGTGGCTGAGCCCCGACGCAGGCGTTACACCCCAGCAAAGCATCCTGCCAGCTGCGGGGTTCAAACCTGAAAATCTCATTTTGGGCTTGATGTCAGGGTCCCTTCTGGGGTTGGGGTGATGACACCCGGCCCCGAAAAATGTGTGGCCAGCCGCGGCAGAGCGGGAGGGGAATGCAGAGGGAATGTCCCCAAACCAGGTTTTACTGCTCCGCAGGCGTCAAGCCCTTCTCTGCCGGCAGCGTCAGCCTCTCCGCGGTGTCCAAAGGGGTGTAGGGGGAAGGGGCACGGCCATAAATACGTAAAGCAATGTTGTTTTTATCAAAATCTGATGATTTCGAAGGCAGGCGTTTTCGCTGGCCTGTCGCAATGGAGCTCGGGTGCTGCTGACTGGGGCCAGCGTGCACCAGCAAAGAGAGCAAAATCATCAAAAGCCACAAGAGGGGAAAGAAAATTCCATTCTTCCCATGAAATGGGATTTTTTCCAGTACCGAGCCGCCCTCCCAGTGCTGCGCCGAAGCTTGCCCTGAGCCCTGCACCCTGCTAGCGGGGTGCAGCCCCCCCAAAGAGCCGCCCCAGCGCCCGGGGACCCCCAAAGCACCGTGGAGGGGGACCGGGGACCTGGATATTTAGGTTTGCTGTCACCTGCTGCCCTCCTCTCTGCGAGGCCGGGGGCAAGGGGAGCTGTAGGGCGGGCAGGGAGGGAGCAGAGCCAGCCCCGGGGTCCCCGGACGCGTCCCCTGCCACCTCGGTCGCTGTCCCCGTGCCGGGGGCCTCCATGCTCCGGGGCCGGCTGTGATGGCTCTCGCTGGATCGCTCCCAAAAAAAGCGTCCCCCCCCCACGTTGCTGTGTGCGGAGAGGCCAGCGGCCATGTAGGCCGGGGCAGGTGGCGAATGCCACCGCGGTGTCACCATCTGTCACAGCCCTCCTCCCTTCCCACTTGTTTATCAAGGCAGCAGGGACCCTGCCTGGGCCAGGAGACCCCGGGGTGAGACCGGGTCCCCACCGCCCCTCTTGTGCAGGTGGTCTCCCCATCGGTCACCCCGTCACCCCCATCCCTGGGCTGCCTCCTCCGGTGGCAACATGCCTGTCCCCAATCCATCGCATCCGTAGTGTCTCTCCCGGCGGGAAGCCCTTCCCCGCTCACGCCTGCGGTGATAAAAGAGGACGGACCTGGGGACACCCCGGCACATGCACCCCCAGCCACCTCTGGTGCCAGCGGTACCGGCACAACCCTCCTGGTACCGGCACCGGCACCGGTGGGAGGGGAAGGACCCTCGATTCCCTGGCCTTGGGGGATGCAGCACTGGGAAACGTCTCAGGGAAGGCACAGGAGCCGAGGATGCTGCAGCCAGGGATGGGGCACCCGCTCCCTCTTGCCCCTCTGGACATTTCTGTTCCCATCCTGTGCTAGCCCTGCCTGCTAAAAAGGATAGCAGTGGAAATTAGGTGATTAAGGTGCATGTGCCCTCATTAGGTTTCAGAGTTAACGTGCTGGAGGGAAAAACTCCGCTTTCCCAGGGCTGGGATTCCTCTCCCCTCAGCCCAGACCCCCACGGGAGGTGATGCCCAGGCAGCGGGGAGAGACAGGCAGCGTCTCACCCCTTCCGTCCCCCCGGGGATGCGCAGGGCCTCCCCCAGGAGAGCGGCCCCGTCCAGCCCGGCGGGTCCTCAGCCGCTGCTGGGCTTTGTCTGAGTGCCCCAGCTGTGCTGCTGAGCCGCAGGAGTCAGCAGAAAGCAGCGCTGGGAGGTCAGGACCGCTTTCCTTCGCTCTCCAGTCAGGCATAAGGCATGCTGGTTGGGGTGCTCACTCTGAAACCTAATGAGGGCATATGCACCTCTGCCACTGATCTCATAGCAGGGAATGAGCACGAAGAGGGGGAATAGGGAGACGGCATGTGTGCACCGAGACCGGAGCCGTCCCCGAGCCCTTCCCAGCAGCGATGGGTGTTTTAGGGGTGGCAGCAGCAGCCTGCTGCCCGACCGGGGCTCAGCACCTTCACCAAGGTGGCAGAGCCTCTTCCCGGGGAGGCTCCAGCAAACCTGTGGCGCGGCGGGGTGGGGAGGTATCACACGTGTCCTCTCCCGCGGGATTCAGCCCAGGGACCCTCCGCACCAGGGGCTTGGCCCCTCCGCGAGGCGATAACAGCAATTCATACCCGCTCCCCCCTGCCCCCCCGCCCCGCCTCGCCCAGCTGATGCCTCATTAAACTCGCCAGCAAAGCCTGACTCAGAGCAAGGCATAAACACCGCGCGCCGGGGCAGAGATGCTCCGAGGCGAGGGGGGTTCATCACCCAGGACCGGGCCAAAAAAAAAACACCCAATTTCTTTGGGTTTGGGGGTTTTTCTTTTCCCAGTGCCAAGCCCCAGGGCTGCTCGCTTGGACTCGGTGCTGCCAGGTCTGGTGCCAAGAGGCCGGACCTGAGCCGGAGCCGCGGGAGAGCCCCGCTCTGCCGGCGTGTGATTTATGAGCCGGCTTAAATATTTATCAGGCAGCTCTCAGGCTGAAGTGACTGCGGCGCAGGATTTATAGCAGGCACCGCCACCTTGGATAAATCACGGCCGGGACGGTTAATTGAAGGAGCAAGAGTGGAGCAGAGAGAGGCCGTGGGGAAGAAGGGCCCCACGGGTGCTGCAAGTGGTGCTGGGCGCCGGTGCACGGTGCTGGACACTGGTGTACAGTGAATGGCACTGCACATGGTGCTGGTGCACGGTGCTAGGTGCTCAGTGCACGGCGCTGGGCATCTGTGCATGGTGTTGGGTGCAATGGTAGGTGCTAGCGCACAGTGCTGGTGCGTGGTGCTGGGTGCTGGTGCACAGTGCTGGGCACTGGTAAACGGTACTGGATGCTGGTGCTGGGCACTGGTTCATGGTGCTGGTGCAAGGTGTTGTGCGCTGGTGCATGTTGCTGGTACACAGCGCGTGGTGCCGGTGCGCAGTGCTGAGTGTTGGTGCACCATGCTGGGTGCTGGTGCGTGGTGGTGCACGGTGCTGGACGCTGGCGCATGGAATCATGGAATCGTTTAGCTTGGAAAAGACCTTTAAGATCATCGGTGCTGTTGCACAGTGCTGGGTGCTGGTGCCCGGTGCTGGTGCCCGGTGCTGGCCTCCTTGCACAGTGCTGGTGCATGGTGCTGGTGCACAGTGCTGGGTGCTGGGTGCCGGTGCACGGTGCTGTTGCGCAGTGCTGGGGACTGGTGCATGGTGCTGGTCTGCAGTGTTGGGTGCTAGTGCACAGTACTGGGCACTGGTGCACGGTGCTGTTGCACAGTGCTGAGCGCTGTTGCATGGTGCTGGGCACAGGTGAACAGTGCTGGGCGCTGTTGCACAGTGCTGGTGCACGGTGCTGTGCGCTGTTGCACAGTCCTGGGTGCTGGTGCTGGGTGCTGTTGCACAGTGCTGGGTGCTGGTGCATGTTGCTGTTGCACAGTGCTGGGCACTGTTGCACAGTGCTGGGCGCTGGTGCACGGTGCTGGTGCACGGTGTGGGGCGCTGGTGCACACCCCTCCACACCTTGCCACTACCCAAATGAAGCAAAGCACCAGGAGGAAGGAGCCGCATCCTGCTTTTCCAAGGAGAGACCCTGGGCGAAGGGACCGGGAATGGTCCAGGGCTGAGTGATGGGGCAGCCCCACTCCGCCAGCCTTCGGCTCTGCTCCGCGAAGGCCCGAGCCAAAAAATAGCGGAGAATAACCCCTTTTTCTGTGAAGGAGGAGCAGCCCATGGCACCCACCTGCCTCCCGGGGGAACGCGAGCGGGATTTGGCTGCGGGAAGGGCGGCGGGGAAGGAAGCGTCCCTGGTGTAAGGCGCTTTGCAGCCAGAGCCATCAAGGGCTCGGGAGCTTTAGCGCATCAGGGAGGCGGCAGGGTGACGGCTCAGGCCGTAGCTCCCTGGGGAGCCGATGCCTGAGCTCGCTCCGCATCCCCATCCCGCTCGGATCGGGGGGAGCAGGGGGCTGCCTTTGCAGATGGAGCCAGGGCGGCGTGGAGGGGTCCTTTGGGCTCCAAGTCCTGCAGGATGCTGGGGTCTTCGTCACCCCTCGGGGGTCTCGGGGCCTCCTGCAAGGGCGGGCGGTGACCCCGGGGTGCTGCGCGGGGTGGGGGGTGTCGCTGCCGGTGCCGGGGTCCCTCTGCCCAGCGGCGTGAGCAGGCAGAGCCGGCAGAAATCGGTCCTAAAGGCCTTAAATGACTTTTTCTCCTCCCTGGAGGCCCCTTTTCCCCTCTGCCGGCGTGGAAAGCAGCTCTGCTCACGATTGCAGCCGCCCCCAGAGCTGTGGGGAGGTCTCCAGCCGCAGGTCTGTGCTGTCCCGCGGGGGTATGGGGTGC